TTTCAGTTCATCCAATTGTTAATTTCAACAAAATCTTCCAGTGATGAAGTGTCAAAGAAACGAATGCTATAATGAATGAGTAGTGTTTATTTGGAGCAGTACTCGAAGCGGTACAGAAGACTAAAAATGTAATTGAGTAATGGGATTAGTAGCGAAAACCTCAATTATATAGTATCGGCTTTCTGGATAGCAATATTCAACATACATGGGCGTTCCGCTAAGCATCAGTGATTCTGGAGATTTAATGAACTTGGATCATCATTTCTATTTGCGTCTGGCTACTATCTTGTTCTCTCAGCTTATGCTCTCTTGTTGAATCAAACTGGATTTATCACGAATTTAATCGAGAGCTAAGTTATTCAATTAAGTTGATTGCGTTCCAGATTACGCTATACCCAAACGTTTATTTCGATAGATCTGTCTGTATGTATCTGTTGCCAGACGGTGTACCGTTTTGGATTAGTGAACACTTGAAAGTTAATCGAAGTTAGAAAATGGACATAGCAATAAATTTTTGTCTCCTTATTCAGTATGCAAGACATCCGGTGTTTAATATCGCTTGCTAGAATATCGTCGAACATGATTTCACAATTCGTATATCAAACATGCTTTCTACAATACAGTAAGATGTCCTCTTATGCGAAGACTTGCATGACTCAAAAAAAAAAACAACCGAATTTTAACAACTGTTAACTACAAAATTGATAAATATGATAGGAAGATTTCTACTGACATTCAAAACATCGCTCATTAAAATCTATCAACAACGGAAAGTTTTTCAAAGAAACCATGCGATTTTGTTGCTCTTTACTAACGCTTAGTAAGCCGCTGTTGATGAGGTGAACTTTTATGCTGGCAAATAGTAATTACTCATCGCATAAAAATACAATTCAATTGGTTCGATGAAGTTCGAAAAAGTGGCGAAATTCAGCACGAGAATGATGTTTTTACGAAATCCGAAAAGAAAAACGATTTTTGCACTTCGTTTCACTGGGGCAGTTGGTGAACCAGTTGAAGCGAGTAGCTTCGCGAATGGGCATTTTTCATAACGCCCATTTCATACCAACCTAAGATAGCGNAGATAGCGTTTTCGAGCAATAGCCTCACTAGAAACTGCACTAAGAAGTTCACTCTCATGGTTAGCAGATGTAATTTGTTGAATGATTCGATTCATTTCGAGTTCGTTGAACTGCTAAACCACAGATGAGATCGGGTGAATTACAACAGGATCGCTTCTAATGCTTAGATGAAAGCACTCATTTGTCTAAACTAATTCAACGGTGTTATTGCCTAGAGTTGACCGATAGAGCGATGTGGCGTTGGAAAGGTGAAGAAAACGAAACAAGGATCGAAAAACTGACCGCAACAATTCGGTAATGTGAACATTTCGCTGAAATGTGAACTTGCACAAAAGTTGAATTAAGGCACTGATTAAAGCAATCTAATGCAACCTTTATATACGCGTCATAGTGTTCTAGATGTGGATGATTGAATGTCTTATGTGAAGTGATAATTCATAGTCGTTTAGTTGAACAAAAATCATTGGAGGAATTGACGTATCTTCATCAACGGATCCATTTTCAATCACTCGAATTATCGTGATAGAATGAGTGGAGGAGAAATTTTTTGTTCGTTTCTAAGTATTCGAATCGATGATGTATCAAACGAACTGTTGTGATGATAACGATTAACATGCAAAAACAAATTCTAAGCAAAAAACATTAAGCGTTCAAAAAACAACGCACAAAGCCAATTAATTAGCGTTCAAATGAGTTTGCAATAGACGTTAGACGAGTAACGTTTCGTGCAAATACAGAAATTGACGCAAAATGTTGTGCAGAAATATTTTCACTTTTCGTTGCATTTTAGAGAGCAACCTGAAGAAAAAAATGCACTTGTTCGCAATACTTTGATTTTTGGTAAAATAATAACAGTAATAATGACGCAGGTTCATTTCAAATGTGCTCAATGAATTATTAATTAATGTTTGAATTGTGTTCCTTCCAATGGATGAGTCAGAAAAAGATAATGAATGCATTTTGGTGTGCACTATCAAACGCCATCCGACCGTAAATCAATGCCAAAACAAACATATCAATGATCATCCGGCTTTGCAACCTAGTCACTGCAATGTATCAGTGAAGTTCTTGAATGAGGCGCATTGCAGATTTCGACAATTTTACTGACTGTGAGCATATTGCTGTTAAATGACAGCAGCACCGAAATATCATGAAGAGCGACATTTAGCGGTGTGCACTCGACCCTTAGCAGATCGCTTCGTAATTGTAGCGGCCAGCACGAAAAAACCCGCAAGATGTTGGTCGGTGAGACTAAGACAGAAAAGTATAGGTGATTAGAGTTGTGGGATTGCTACAATACACGAATGATGTACATGGTGTGCTAAAAGATCCATCCGGCAGTATGGTGGAAAGCACTTACACGATTTCACATCGGTTCAGCAATTTCGTCGATTTCCAATGTGAATGTTGAAAGAAATGTAGCAAAAAGTAGAGGGTATAAACATGCAATTGTTGCGTTGCGTTGGTTCACCTGAAAACGAATTCGAGGAATGGCGGAACGATACATTGATCGACCGACGAAATCGTCGCGTAATGAAGACGCGCGATAGTCTGGCTCTTCCGGCTGAGAACATTTTTGACTGCGGCAAAGAAATCCGTCCGACGCAAACGACTTCCAAACGATTTATGGTTAGTAAGTGCAATGCGGAAGAGAGTTTGCATAAATTTGAGACAGCATAGTACCCAAACAGCAGTGAACATAAGTACATGTATTGAAATCAATCCCAAATTGAATAACATATAGTCCGGTAGGATTGGGTCGGAGATCCCAGAGGGTGGGGTTCGAGGACGGTCGGGACTCAAGGTTCTCCGATCACTTTCTAAATTCCACAGGTCTCTGACTCTTCCCCTAATTTCGAGGGCCATGAACAATTAGATAGACAGACAGACGGATAGTTTATTGCTGAGTAAA